AATGCTTTAGCATGATATTTCTTCAAGGTTCATACAAATGGCTACTGCTAGACAGGAGGGACACTTCACACTCATTGACAGTTCCCCTGGCTACAGGGGAATTTCCATGAAAATCCATAGGAAAACCCGAACCAAACCAACCAACCAAGCAAGCAAAAAAAAAAAAAAAAAAAAACCAACACACACCACAACAAAAGAAAAAAGTGGATTTTTTTATTTTTTCTTATTACATGCCATGAGACCACTGTTAGCTGGGGAACTCAAAAAGAGAGTAGCAAGCTAGAAGCTGTATTCAAAGTTGAGTCGGAAGCAAGTCAAATTTTTGTCCCAGCAAAAGATTTGTTTCTGTGAGAAAAGGGAGTCATTCTAGTGTTGCACCAATAACCTTCTCTCTCCTACCTTCTCCTACCAGCTGCTTGAAAGCAACCAGCAGGCTCAAGCTGCTCCACACACAGGAAGGGAAAACGGCTGCCCACAACCCCAGGACTGTTCCTGGCTGGAGCGGAGCCACCTTCCCAGGAAAGCCCCGAACCTGAGAGGGTGACTGTGCAGCACAGCGATGCCCATCCTCCCTCCAGCCCCTGCAGCACAGCCACGAGCCAGCAGAGCGGCGCTCGGCCCCTCACCTTTCAGGTTACGGGGCAGCGCGATGCTGTCCAGGTTCACGCCTGGCCTTAAGATGCAGATCATGGCCGCAGACCCTAGGCTGGACCTTGAGCTTGTTGTGATGGCTGACGCCTGGACTGCAAAAGCTAGGTGGAGCAAGAGAGCAGGGGTGAGGCAATTTGCAAAGTGTCCTGCAGCCTGCAAATGTTTCCAAGCTCACTCGGAACAGGACAAGGCGCCCTCACACGGCCCAGTGCAGGTGCACTGACTGCCTATGCTGAACATGCTCCAAGCAGAGCAAAACAGTTTTCACTGCAAGTTTCCCGGGCCTGGCCTCACCTCAAGCTGGGGTTTGTTCTCAGTTGAGAACAAACCAAGGTTTTTTTGGCCAAGGTAAATTCTGTGCTCATAAGAATGCTTCAGGAACACATGTGGTCCAGAAACATTTCCTCTGCAGTTTAGCCCCAAGAACTGATGCCCCTCAAAGCCACCACAACTTGTGAGCCACTGCTTTGGCTGTCCTGACAACAATGCACACAGAAGCCCACGCCTCTGCCAGGTCAAGTTCTGCATGATCTGCTGCAAGATCTGTTTCTGCCCTGATCCATGGCACAATGATGGGGCAAGTTTGTGCTGCAGGGAATGCAACACAGCAACTCACTAGTCAGCGGCAAAGGTTCTTACTGTTCAGGTTCTCCCAGTTGTCTTCTGCTTCTTCACCCCTCCTCTCAGTGCGGAACAAGAGCATCTTGTTGCAACAAAGGAAGTGCACCAGCTCCTCAACAACATATGGGATTCCCAGGCTTCTTTGGACCAGGAACCTGGGCAGGAGTAGATCCAGCAGTGATCAGCACAAGAAAAGTAGAATCATAGAATGGATTTAGTCGGAAGGGACCTTAGGATCATCTAGTTCCAACCTCTGCCATGGGCAGGCACATCTCAAGCTAGACCATGTTGCTCAAGGCTCTGTCCAACCTGCCCTTGAATACTGTCAGGGACAGAGCATTTACCATGTCTTTGGACTACCTGTACCTCAGCACCCTAAAAGGAAAAACAGTTGAGGTGGGCAGCAAGCCACTCAGGCATAGCAGGGGAGCCAGCATTTTCGTCACAGTTACACCTTACTTTTGAAAGGGAGGTCCTCCTGCTGGCTTGGGTTTTTGGGCCCCCCTGAACTTCCAGCTTTTGCTGAAATCCATGGGAAAAGACCTGCAAACAGTGCCCAAACCACAGAGCAGCAAGCCCTACCTTTCCTCTCCTCAGGAGCCTAGGTGCTCTTTGGCAGCAGGAGAGACCTCTGCCACAAGGAATCTGCCACTCAGCCTGGCCACTTAGACCAAGGCCTTTTCACATCCCAGACATGCCTGGGATTGGGAGTCTTCCTCCCTTCCTCCTTGTGAAACAGCAAATGGTTGGCAGCTCCCACGCTTGGAGTCCAGGGAGCTCCGCTGCCTCCAACTTACCTCACTAAAGCCCTGGGGATGCTGACCACTCCAAGGTCCTGGCAGAGCTTCTGCGCCACAGATGAAGGTTTCAGCTTCTCTAGATGAAGGCAGGTGATTTTATGGGACATCAGGTTGTCTGTTATGGCTTTGTGAAAGCTCTCAGTTCTTGCAAAGCCTGGGCATAAGCTCATGACCATGAAGACGGAGATGTTCCAGAGCAGGGGTGCCATAATACTCCAGGAGGCAGGGTCAATGAAATGGGCATTGTCGATGATAAATATGGCATTTCTATCAATGATCTGGAAAAAACAGGTTGTTCTGAGGCAAATCCAGTGGATTCGCAAGTGTCTTACAGGGGAGAAGATTTAGCTTCTGCCTCTCGAGAGGATGCTCTCTCAAGTGTCTCCCCAACTAAATCCCTGCTTGGAAGCTTCCCAGCTCCTAATTTCTTTGAGATTTTCAGGTCACACTTAACATCACCTGCCCTGCAGAAGGAAGGATCTTGGGCAAGGGAATGAAGAATTGTCTCTCCTCCAGGGAACACTTTAAGGGAGGAAACTTACTAGTGTGTTTGTGGGGCTCTGGAGAGAACATGGAGGCTTTCTCCGGCCCTAGAGGGTGATGACCCAGGTCCTCCCTCCCACTCACACTGCTGTGGCACAGAGCCCAGAGCTAGCAGGTTTGTTCTCCTCCTCTGACCCAGGAGGAGGGAAGGAGAAGTGCTTACCTTCTCTAGCACTTTTGCCCAAGTTGAGTGCAATTCCTCTTTTCTTTGCATTTCATGCATTTGGTGAACCTTGTCTGAAACAGGAAACTATCCAGAAAAGCAGAGTCAGGGAGAAACATGGCCCCAGGGCTCACCACACTTACCCACCAAGCAAGATGGCTGAGCAAACCCCCTCTGCTCTGCCTCAGCACCATCTGTCTCCCCAGAATGGGTGCAAGAGGCCAGAGTGCAGGCTTCAACTACAGCCTAAAGCAGAGGCTCTGGCAGAGCTGGTGCTTGGGGGCGGGCTGAAGAGCTGGTTCTCTGACTGTGGCTGGCTGGAGCAGACCACTCACACAGCAATGACCTCAGCACCAGGTCAGGCCCAGCCTCTCTCCAATGCTGCTTCCAGGGTGATGAACAAGGCACCAGGCACTGACAGATGCAACACGGTACATTAACTCACCACATACAGGCAGCCTCGAGGACCAGGAATGGGAAACCTGCTGTGACCCCTGTGATTCCCACCCCCCAGCTAAGGCACTCAAGCAGCCTTAGAAGACTGCTGAAGACCCAGAATACCTCAGGAGAAAGCCTTCTCCAGGGTCAGAGAGGCCTGTTGCTTTTACCTTGACAAGGAAAATGTCATTGAGGAGGCAGTAGTTGCTCTCTTCAATAATCCCTTGGAGATATGTCTTTAGCACGTGCTCCCTGGCACTGCACGATTCGCACTCCTGGAGGCCTAGCCCCCTGGCCATCAGAATACGCACGGCAGAGAAGGACTGCCTCACGTTGACCTCTAGCAGTTCCATGCCAAATACCCTGCCATGCAAAAGCAAAAGGGACTGAGATCCCCAACAGCCCAAGCCTTCTAAGACAAAAGGGCTGGAGTTGCCTTTAGGGGGAGCTCTTCAGCCTCCCACCTCAAAGTGCTACCCAGAGTTTCGCTCCTTGTATAAGAAAGCACAGCGGGGCAGTTGATGCCAAGCCATTGGGAGAGCCAGGTCCAGACCCCGTCTGGTCTCTGCAGCTCTGGCCCATGTCTCCCTACCTCCCTACTGCAGAAGGACTTTCAGGGCTAAGAGGTGGGCATGGAGCAAGTGAGGAGTTTGCCTCTGGGTTCCAGACCTTAGCAGTCTGCCGCCCAGGCCACAGGACAGCTTTTCTGGCCCAGTATTCCTTCTGGGAAACAGGCAGGGGGCAAGCAGGGCTTCTGAGACATGCCACCCTGCTATCTGTTGCACCTGTAATCTAACAAAAAGCACTGAGTTTGGGCTTTTTCCTTCTATTTGTGAAGGAGAAAAAGCATAGCTCAAGAAGCCACCTCCAGCACCCCGAAGAGACAGGGGCAGCAGCAGAGCACACAGGAGATAACTAGGGAATGTCTCCAGAAGTCTTTTCCAGGAGGCTTCAGTCCAAGGGCCAGGTGCACTGGCCAAGGGGCTGGTGTGTTCCATGGCTGTCAGAGGTGGGAAGAGGCAGTGTCCCAAAGCTACAGGGCAAAACCCAGTACCTGTACCCAGCAGACTGGCCTAACTGGGCCAAGTGATTAAGTAATTGGCTCTTTCCAGAGCCCCTCGTGCCCTCAAATGCCAGCATGTGTCTTTGTCCAAAACGGTTGCAGGCTTCCAAGCAGTTGACAAAGAGGTCAATCTCCTTCTTTCGACCTGTGAAAACAAACAAGAAAACGAGCTGCTGGGGCATGCTAGAAGGCAAAGAGCCACCCCTTTTGCTGGCACCCTCCGCCACAGCCTACCTCCCCACCACCGCATCTGCCAACCTACGACACCTCTGCTGTCTTCCAGCCCGCTTGTCCCAGCTTTCACACCTCTGCCTTCCTCAGAGTGGTAGCGGACCCCTCTATCCCAAAGAGATTCAGACAGCCCCATGCAACTCCCCTCAGGGATCCAGCACAAGGCTGGAAGGGATGATTGAAGTTGCTGCAGGCAGCTGTGTCCCAAACAGACTTAGCACATCTTCTCCTCACTGTATGACTAGCCACAGAGCACATCAATGTTGATGGCACAACCATGTTTTAGTTCTTGCTGAAGAGGGCTTGCGCAGCATCGAGGCCTTTTCCATTTCTCATGCCACTCTGCCAGCAAGCAGGCTGGGAGTGCACAAGAAGTTGGGAGGGGGCACAGCAGCAACAGCAGACCCCAACTGGCCTATTCCACAGCGTATGATGCTGTGCTCAGAAAGAAAAGCTGGGTAAAAGGAGGAGGAAGGGGGCACATTAGCAGTTCCAGCATTTGTCTTCCCAAGTCCTGGATACACATGTTGAAACCCTGCTTTCCTGGGAATGGCTGGACACCTGCCTGACACGAGGAAGCAGTGAAAGAATGCCTGGATTTGTCTGTCATGTGTGCACAGCATCTGCTTTGCCTATTAAGCGGTCTGTATCCAGTGTGCTCACTTTTACCCTTCCAATTCTCTTTCCCATCCCACTGTGGGGAGTGAGCAGCTCTGTGGGCCTGAGTTGCCCACCAGGGTTGACCCATGACAGGGCCCAAAACATCTGGCAAGACACTATGTGATTAAAGGCATCCATGTCGCCTGGCTTTTCCATGTCTACACCCAGCTGCTGCCAAGAAAGGACCTTTGAGGAGCACTAGGGGGAGAACCCACCACCAAAACTCTCCGTCATTCTGGCAGAAGGAAATCTCTTTCCTGATCCCAAAGACAAGGACCAGTTTAGCCCCCAGAGTGTGAACAGCTCCATAGTTGAAAGGAACCTTCATATCGCGTTTGGAACATGGCCAGGAGCACCAAGCACCTCATTCCGCTTTCCGCCCCAAAGATATCAACTAAGTAGGCACTGAGACAGCCAGCACTTCTTTATGGTCTCTGCAGGCAACACTATCCCCAGCAAAAGCTTTTCCCTTCCCTATACAAGTTACTGAGGGGAAGAAACTGGGGTTCAGAAGAGCAAGGCATTCTCCACGTACCCAGCAAGGAGGTATTCTCTGGCATCTTCATGGAAAGAGCCATGCCAAATATGCTAGAAGCAGGGGAAGAAGAAAATACAAGTCAGTTAGCTGGTGAGAAGCCGGCGACATCAAGAAGCAGTCTGACATGGAGGGGCTGGATGTGCTCCTCAGGTACTTGCTTTTCTTTCAAGCAGCATGTTATCCCCTGCATGCTCCCCACACCGAAGGTCAAGCTGGCATGCTGGGACAGCTTTAAGCATAAAGAACCCCAACAGCCACAGCAGGACAGGAGAACATATTGAAAGTCCATCAACAGATGCCAAAGCCAGAGATACGTGAAAGAAGCCAGGGTGTGCTGCTGGCTAGCAGATATCTTTACTGTGTTGGCCAAAAAAAAACAAGTGTCTTGGAAACAAGGACTTGTGTCACCTAATGGGTTGGGATTCCAAGCACCTGGCACCTTTGGCTCAAGTCTTCCTGTAGTTTCAGAGACTAGCATTCAAACCACCATCCAAAAAGAAGGTCAAATCCTGGCCCAGAGGAAGAGCTCATATTTCAGC